GAGAAGACAATGATAAGTAGAGGAAGAACGCCAAAATATAATGAAGGGGATGAACGGAGAGTACCTGCCTAATAAAACGGTGTAGGTTCGCGGACTCGTAGACGCAAGTTTCACTTCTCTAAATGGGAGGGTGGGTAGAGAAAAAAGAGTGTCCAACATAAACACTAGGAACCTACAAACTCAAAAATGGTCAAAGACCCAAATCCAAACAAAACAGGTCAAAACGGCACACAAACATAAGCGGAGAAACAACTTTCATTTTTTCATACCCCATTTAAATTTCAACTAAATCACTTTCAATAAAACACTAGACAAAATATCCACCGAACAGCTCTCCAAATCAAACAGAATAATAAAAATACGACGGGCTATTTTCGTGGAATTGGGTCTAGGGTGCAGCTAAGTGTGGTAATGGGGCGAACCAGAGACAGAAAGTTGAGGCCGAGTAGCCTTAGTAGACCTCAATTGGGGTAAAAGTAGAGCGTTTATCGTTCGGATTATCCATACTTTCGTTACGATTTCGTTTTCGGCTTTTACTATTCGGGATTCACGGTCCCTCGGCGTGGTTCTCATCAAATGCCAGTAACGTCACAGCGGTTTAAATGAATTCGGACAGCAGGGGACCGATCAGACGAGACTGGATTAGTCGGTACATTGGGAGTAAGTCGAACAGTTAAGGCGGGAAGATAAATAAGGGGTCAGCAGTGACGGACAGGTTTGGGATGCAAGAAGCTACATGTTGCTGGTCTGGAAAAGTCGAAGATGCAGACCGGTCAGATGAGACTAGGTTATTACAAGGCACTGAGGGTTGGCAGTCTGATTAGAGAAGAAATGGAAGTAGAGAACGCCATAAGGAGGGAGACGGTCCGGATAGAAAGAGGTTTACATATAGGGTGTGAAAAGTCCATGAGGCTCATGAGGTATTGGGGACAGAGCGTTCGGTCTTCCGAGCAATGGTCCGCCACGTCACAGAAGTCCAGCAAGCTGTCGAAGTGAGGGAAACACGGCTTTGAACCGAGCGAGCCCAGACCGCTAACATCCTGTTAACCTGTAGTCCCAGATTGTTTGGCTCATGGGATTAGGCTAAATTAGGGCAGGGCGCTGAGAGTTGGCCGTCCGGTTGAAGAATGATTAAACGATGGCAAGTAATGTCACAGGTGTCTGAGACTGGATTAGTCGGCGCACTGTGATTGAGGCTGTAGTTCATTTGGGGAGACAGTTGGAGTGAGTCGCGAGGTGGACAGTAAAAGATGAATGTGGCTGCAGTAAAAGAGGGTGAAGAAGCGCAGCAGGCTGTCGCGGTGAGGGAGGCATTGCGTTGAGTCTACAGAGCCCGGAACTTTAACATCACAGTAGTATAGAAGAAGTTGATGGGAAGCAGACTGGTCAGCTGAGACTATTTAGAGGGCCGCCTTTACCGGGAGCCCAGAGAGCGATTTGAGAAGACGGATCGAGTTGCAGGGAAACTTTTATTGGTACCGTAAAAGATTCCCTGTTATCTAGCTATAAAAGAACGACACCAGGGACGCTCTAGCTAGGGGCACGGATCGAGCACAGCACACAGGGCAGTTGCGCGTTGCAACCGAAACGAGCGCCAAGCAAAAATGGCGATGAGCAAGTCAAGCATTAGAACTCAGCAATCAGCTCAACAAACCACACCGGTTGCCTAGGTGTAAAATTATAGAATTTTGGTTAGAATTTTACACAGGTAAACCGGGGAATCTCCAAACTGCTACATAGCCCTCTCCCAGAAGGGACTGTGTAAGCAGTCCTTAGATCTAACGAATCTGCGAGACCAGGATGTGAAACCTGATGCAGCTGCCGGGGGAGAACCATGCAATCGGATCCTAGCGGGCTCCCACCGTGTCCTCCCTACGGTGTCGAAACGGTTAAAAAACTGTTTCTGGGTGGGACAGTTAGTAAAGTTCACGTAGGCAGTTGAGCAAGAAGTTCGTTCCAGTTGCAGTTGACGTGCCGGGATCCAGCGGAAAGAGAAACCGAGGTGCAAACAACTGACGGTGTATATGGAAAGCAAAACGAAAAAGCAGCGTAAGTGCATAGTCATACACAAAAAAGTGCAAAGCGGAAAACGTGCAAAGCTGTTTTTGGGTTTTTAATAGGTTTTGCTCTCTTTTGGTAATTTCAAAACGTTTTGATCTTTTTTGTGGGTTTTCAAAAACGCTTATTAAGAGCAGAAAATTTCGAAGGCACGTTCTATGTAAAATAGTAAGTGCTAACGAAGTCTGAAAAACGAACTGGATGTTTGAGCTTCCTACCGCGTCGATTGACCGTGGGGCGAGTAGGAGTGCTGTCGGTTGCGGTTGTAGGTTCTGCTGGAGCGGGTTGACTCGTCTGAGGTTGGGTGCCGGCTGTGATGGCACAGGCTGTGTAGGTGCTTGTCGCACCGAAGAGTCAGACTTGTCGAGGAATGCTGGCTTGAGTCCATCAATGGTGATCGTCTCAGTGGTGCTGCGTCGGAGCTTGCCCATGTGGGGATCAG